GTCCATTGATGTGAGGAGATCTGTTTGCGCACACTCTACAGGATTGACAGGAGCGAGTGCATTTTGAATCTCCTGTACCTGATGAATCGATTGAGAAATTTGAGATTGAGAATTGCTCTCCAGCCCCCTGAAGACTTTGGCACAATAAAGAGACGAGAGTAAAAACCCTGTCCCACCTGGCCTAGAGGCACAGGTTGAATAGCCCGAATGTGGAGCAGATGATGGATGGCCTGCTCTACTAGGAGCCTCTTCTGAGGGTCCCTGGAGATTGGGCACGTGACAAAGTGGTTCAAAAGGCTGGAGCGTAAGTCCAAAAGAAGGCCGAATCTGATAGTGGACCTGACCCATGCATCGTTGGTGATGTCATCCCAAAGATTTGTGAAGGCTACCAGACGTCTTCCGATCGGGAGATCCTCTAGGCAGTCACGTCTGCCTCTTATAGGGGCAGTTGGAATTGTCCCTGAATGATTTTCTGTGCTGGAATCTCTGTTTGTTTCTGCCTGATCTGTTGGAGAAGGAGGGGCCCTGTCTGGGGGGAGCCTGACATTACAGACGGGAGTTGGAGGAACCCTCGTCCTGTCCATAAAAGGGCTGCTTACAATAAAAGGACTGATTCTGACCCTCCTGCTTCTTGGTGGCCAGTTGCAGGACTTTCCGCTTATCCTTGGACTCTACTAGTAGATGTTCTAAGGGAGGAGCCGGCGAGTGGTGATAGAGGATGCTATAGCTTTGGATGCGTAACGGGTCATGTCTAAGGAGGCATCTGTGGTGTATTCTAGGTCCGCCTTCAATTTGTTAATGTCCCTGCGAGCCCTAGAAACTCGGGCTGGAAGTCTCCCTTGAAGTTGTCTTAGCCACAAGAGAGCAGAGTGACTAAAGAAAGAAGCAGATGTAGTTGCCCTGATGGCCCAAGCTGAGGCCTGATGTCCCTTGACCAGAGTTTGTTCTATTCTCTTGTCTTCAAGGCGAAGAGCCTCCTCAGGAGCTGCCAAAGCTGTGTTAGGAGAGGACAAGCCAACTCCAGGAAAGTCAACAGAAGGTACCTCTAGAGCCTTGGTGAGTTCTGGTCCCATGTTATACAGGCACTTGTCCAAGGTATTGGGGAGGGGGCCTGTACCTAGTGATGCCCACATCTATGAAGAGTCTGGGTGATGGAATCACCTCCTTTTCCACCTTAGGCTGGATGAAGAGGGAGTCCGTGGTGTCGGTGATGAAGAAGCCGAGAGATCACCATTCCTGCATTTGGAACCAGAAAAAGAATAAGACCTGCATGGAGTAGAATGGTTAGAAAACTGTGCTTAAGTCCTGCTGCTATGCCTCGTTCAATGGCATCAGATATGATATTAGTCATGCCAGATGAGTAAGAACGGTGGCGGCATGGGGGAGAGATATCCTCCTGGTACAAGGGCTCCCCAACAGGAGTGACGCTCCTGCCACCCTCTGATTCATCCCCACTATAGGCCAGATCGCCCATGCCCCTGGCTTCACAGGTTGTATAATGGATGCTGCAGGGGAGAGATCATCCTCCGAATGAGAAGATAGGTCAGGAGGAGGGCTAGGTTAAACAGGCTTCTGGGGCTGAAACAGATGGGATTTCATGTGTTTGGTCTTGCCCCTGGCCTTTTTGGGAGGAACCTGAGCGGCATTGCCATCTTCCTGCGAAGGTGGATTGGCTGTGGTGCTGTGATTAGACCTGGGAACCTTGGAAGAGGTCTCAGTGTGGGGAGCCTCTGTGGCAGGTCTGTGCTTATGGGGCCTGGATGAAGGAGTTTCAGTGGTGGGAGCAGGGGCCAGGGTAGCTGGAGGAATTTGTGGCTTATGGGCAGGAGAGGAAACCATGGCCTGTACTCACGACTTTG